TCTTGGAACCTCTGCATCCAGCTGTGGTACAATCTCAAAAGTTTTCTCTGTATTAAGAATACACACTCCATCACAATTAGGTGTCTCCTACAGTTAACACCTCCTATTAACTGCCAATCTGCAACACTGTCTCAACACCTGGTGAACCACTGTCAAAGCAACTGCAGCTCCATTGTGGGCGATGTCTTTAGTTTACTGATGGCTCCTCTAAAAGTCACAGGATCCTGTCAGATGCATGTGGTAAGAACTTTCACACCACACCCTTTCAAAGAGCAATTTAAAATATGCTATTTTATATTAGTTTGGGGACAGTTATTTTTCTGAACCATATAAAAAACCTTATTTCTAATTGTCTTGTAATTATTCTACTTTTTGGAAATATTTTTTTTAATCTATGGAACTTCTAAATTCGTATCAGAAGATTAGAGGTGGGTGCAGAGTATTAACTGATTCTCTGAATTTTTTGCATGATCCGAAATCTCCAGAAGGAAGTCACTGTTGGTTCATAATGTAAGAGAGATGGCTGGGTACATGGGATACATATGAAGCAGTCCAGTAAAAAATACTAGAGTTCCTGCTGATAATGACATGGTACAGAGGACAAGTGACCAAGTCAGAAATCCTGAGGACAACAGGCAGATGTTGGGACACAGAGAAATGAGATCCCTTCGGATATTCATCTGTTCTGGGCTCCTCAGTCTTGGCAACAGTAATGTCTGTGCTGGGTAAACCACCTATGAGGGGGCCACCTTGCCACTGCATGAGGATAGTATCTCTACCTCAGCCTCACTACACACTACATGCTGGAAGCTTCCCCTTTCCCATTTTGACATCAAAGACTCCCGACATTCTCCATTGCCTCCTGCCGAGTGGATGTCTTGGTTTGAGACATCCCTAATGGTAGGAAATTAATAAAAATATTAATGGAACATCCTAAAATTAAAATTTGTACTGTCTTAAAAATGGTCTTATTGGTTCACTCTAAGCTAATCCTAAAATAGGAAAATTCATAATTACTGTTTACCTGAAAGTAAGATCCCGGGATCTTCAGCAAGACATTCTGTGACATTTTTTCTTTATGATGTCTAAGGTCTGAGAGTTACTCCAAAGGTTTAACTATGAGCTTACAAACAAAGATGCCAACTTACAAAAACCATTTTAACTAGATTAGCATATTAGTATATTTGAGATGAATAAAAAAACAGGCAGATCTCAAAAGACAGAGGGCTTTAACTATATGGCATTCAGTGACGTGGGACATGGTGGTGCACACTTATAATCTCAGAACTTGGAAGGTGGGAGGTGGTCACAAGTTCTGGGTCATTCTTAGCTACACAGCAAACTCAAGGTCAGCTTAGGCTAGAAGACCCTGCCCCCAAAAGCCAAAACTAAGTATGAAACCTTCTGTGGGGATGTCTCCAAGACTTATTTCCTGTCAACTATAAAATACTTGAAGATGCCATGTCCTTCTGACTGAACTATGAGCACATACCTTCCTGACTCCTTGTCAACCATACTCTGCACTGTTCTCCCTCTTGTGGGTATGCCTCTCAAGTAGTTATAAGGAGTGTAAAAAGGATTAAATAGATGTTCCACAGCAGCAAAAGCTAAAATCACAGGTCAACAGTAGAAATAATGTATGTAAAGACCTTGACAGCAATACCAGGAAGTTCCCTATGTGTGCATAATTAACTTCCACTTCCTTTCAACCCTAATCCGTCTTCTTTAATTGAACAAATTTCATAGGCTATTTGTTACAAAGTTCTCAAAGCCATCACTTTTCAGGTCGTGATTTATGTGCTTTGCACACGCATATGGAACAATCTACTCTATGTAGACACAGAGCAAGCAGAACCACAGCATCTTGGGAGATGCTAGTGCATTTAAATACTAAGGGCACATCACACAGATCTCAGGTCTTGTAAAATGGATATAGATGTGCTCTTCCTTCCCTGACAGTGGTACCCTGAGGGAGCATACTGTGGTTACTGCTGTTCCAGCGCTTATGAAATAATCAAGTGGAGTCATTCATGATCTGCATGAGCCATCTTACACAAACCTGGAGATAAAGTTCTCCTGTTAAAACACAAGTGCATTCCTTCATTGGTTAAAAATGATATAACATCTCATTTTAACACAGGCTAAAACACAGCTGAGGCTGTGGCTCAGTTGGGAAATGCTTGCCTGGCATGCATGACACCCTGGATTTAGTTTCCAGCACCCACAAATCAGGTGTGTGTCACACCTGACACCACAACAGAGACAGGAGGACCAGAAGTTCTTCATTTGAAATCCAAGATCAGACTCAGCAAGTTCAAAGACAGCCTGGTTATATGAAATCTTGTCTCAAAAACAAAAACAGTAATAATGAAGGTTAAAAGACTGCTGAGATGATTCTGTGGATAAGGGGCCTGCCTTTCACGAGCCCAAGGACCTCATTTCAATCCCTGGAAGCTTGGTACTTGAAGGAGGGGCAGACAAAGCTGCCCTCGACCTCCACAAGTGTACTGCAGCAGCCCCCATCCCAAATAAATACATAAATGCAAATTAAGACAAAGCTAATGGAAAAGGACTTCAACCAGATCCACCACCAAGGCAACTAGGTCTGACCCTCAACAGGGCACTATTTTTGGTACCCGGAAGGCTTCACACTCCACTTCTGTCCTTTGGTCACTCATACTCGCACCTCCCTCCACACTCAGAACCCTGTGCTTTGGGTTCAGTTTCTTGTACTTCCTCTTCCCCAGGCAAGACACAACGCTGAGAATGTTAGATGGAACAGATTCCTCCAACTGTTGACTGACCCAGCTTTTAGTCTCAAGGCAGCTTGTTTCCAGCTACGAACTCAAAGCTTTGGGACCCTCTTAAAGAAATGCCATGAAAAAAAAAAAAAGCTTGAATGTTCGTACAAATTGTCACCCTAAAAAGTTTACAAAATAAAGTTGGAAAAAAAATGTCATGTATCACAAGTCAGAGGGTTGTTTTAGTTTTAAGACTGAGGTAAGGGTGGTGGGTAGAAAATGTCATAAGTGCTTGTTAGCAGGAAGGACACCTTACCTTAGGGCAAGCATTCCAGCAAGCTTCTTGGGTAGACATATATTTTGTTTTCATATTTTTATCCCCTAAACTGACTGGTGTCAACTTATAATCACATTAGGTGTTTGGCTGATGCTTGCTAGTTATATATGGCTTCGGATCCCTCAAGCTGACTGAAGAAAGTATTGGCCTGAGTCCATGGTCCCTAAGTGCATCCTCGGCTAAGGACGCCATGCAACTGCTCAGTGGACACCTGTGAACTGACCTCATCACCGTGGCTCTCAGACTTAATCTCCACAGTAACAGGTTTGGATTAGTATGTAATTCTCATTCTCTCTATCTCTTGAGACAGGACATCTGCATAGCCCAGGATAGTTTGTTATGTAGTCCAGGCTGGACTCAAACTTACAGCAATTCTCCTACCTCAGTCTCCCAATTTTGGGATTACAGGCATGCACCATCAAGCTAGGCCATGGAAGATCTTCACACTGACGAACTGAAATGCACCTACTATTTCTCTACTTAGTTTTTAATGTCAGACAACTGAGAAAAGACACGAAAGATCAAAGTCCATCTTCATCAAGAGTTTCTTCTTAAAAAATATTGCAAAAACTTTCAGCCATACATTTTTGGAGATTACCTTTTACTTTAACAGTTAGAAATGTATTAAACTTAAAGGAGAATTTCTATGTTTTTAAGAAACAGCATCATTTCATCAATCAAGCAGGCCATTTCACCAATTAACCTTTTATTCTTATTGTACACATCAACATTTTACAGAAATATTGTTAAAAGATTAGTATTAACCTGCAATTACATGCCTTCTCATTTCTTCCAGTGTAGAGATCCAAATTTTTACACAAATGCAACCAGCACGCAATAATTTCTGTTGTAAACTAACATCTTTTTGAGTCTCAAACTCTTCCCATACAGTCTTACATGTACCATTTAACTCTCTGTAAGGTCACTATAGCATTAACAACACATCAAAATCTATCCATTTCTTAGTCAGCAGGTTTTTTTTTTTAAAGTATAAATGGAATTTCTAAAACATACATTTTAGAAGTAGCTTTATTTATTTATTTGTTTGTTCATTCTGAGAGTATTTTCCTGGGCATGTGCTACTCAAAGTGAAGTCAAATATCAGTTATAGAGGTCTGGTTAATCCCTTAAACAGCTCTTCAACACGACCACAGATACTAGCTGCTGCTGCATGAAGACTCACGCAGAATGAAACTCCACTTCTGGTAGGAACACAGGCAAAGTTGCTTGAATATCTATTTTACTGCACATTAATTTGAGGATCAAATAATTTATATTTACTTTCTTATTCCTCTTTGCAACCTATCCCTTTATACTCACACAAAAAGAGCAGAAAGCCTAAAGAATTTGCACCCACTAAAAATAAAATAAAATAAAATAAAAAATAAGTTGGACAGTGGTGGTACATGCCTTTAATCCCAGCACTCGGGAATTTGAGGCTAGACTGGTCTACAGGGCAAGTTCCAGGACAGCCAGGGCTACATAGAGAAACCATGTCTCAAAAAATAAGATAAATAACAAATAAATAAAACACCCATGCAATAGAAACAGTTTTTTTTTATCCCACCTTCTCTCCTTATTTTGTATCTAGATTTTCATTTTAATTTTAGTTGATCTACTTTGTCAATGTTCACCTGCCAGAACATTCCTTGGCATTATTACTGGGGTAAAAATTGTATTCTTATTACTTTTATGGTCAACATATGATTAACAAATAAATGGCAGTATGGGATGAAAAGAAGCCCAGACCCTATCTCCATACTGACCCAGTCTTCCTGTGAGCAGCTTCTAAATACTTCTTTCCAGGTAGCTGATCAGTCTTAACTTTCTTGAACTCAGCACCACAGAACATTTAGATGGGTGGTAGGTATATCATGCCTTAAGGATTTGGAGGGCAAAGCCCTGTATTTTTCCCCTCTAAAATTGAAGATGTGTTTCCTCACTTACTTTCTTGCATAATTTATCACAGTTCTCTCAAATTACATGAAGCATATGGTTGACATCACAAATGATATTTAATTGTAATAATTATCAATTACATACATATGCCACATGCTAGAATTACTTTGGATAAGGGTTCTTATGCATTATCCAACTTAATAGTCACAGTAATTCTGTTAAATATTATTTCTATTCCATAGATGGAAAATGAAAGCTAAAAGTCTTGAGCTCAGACGAGTAATAAATGATCTGTGGTCTCCCTGTGTTTGTAGCATTTCCTTCAAGCCAAGACATCTCTCATAGAGGCACAGTCAAAGTTTAAATTTAGCTCATTCATTAAGCCTTCTATTTAAGTATCTTTCTTAAATTACTCTAATATAGCTACAAACTTTTTAAAGGCGCTCATATATACCAGTATCAATACTTTTTAAAATTCCATCACTGTTGGAATCTAGAAAAGAGATTTCAAAAAACTATGTTCCTTGCAACTTGTGACCTTATCTTCTGTCCATAGTATATTTATACAGTAATACAGGTTTAGAGAATTATAAAGCCATGGAAAAAGAATATATTTGTGAATTTATCTTCTGTTCATAGTATATTTATATGATAATACAGGTTTAGAGAATTATAAAGCCATGGAAAAAGAATATATTTGCTCTGTTTTCTTTCTATAACTTTACTTTGTATTTTTATCCCAGTGACTTTTATTTCAGCCATATACAGATAAAAATGTACCAAGGCTGTCCATTTCTGCTTGAGAAATGGTTCACACATGCTTTCCCAATAGAAATTCAAGTTAAGTTTTAAGTGGTTGCTTATCATGCTATGAAACGCCCACAAAATCATTAGTAAACATAATTAAAGCAAATGGAAGTGTCTAGTTAGTGCAGGTAGCACCGTGGGTTCTGTTCATGCTGATGCACGGCTACTATACTAGACACAGCCGTCTCATCCTGAGTCACTGGAAGTAACTGTCTCTGTTGGTTGTTACCTCTTCGGGCAACATTTTACTCTACAGCTTTTCCCTAGCTAGAATGAGTGATTTTGTCTGACTTTTAGTGTGGAGCCCTAATTGAGTCAAAATATAATTCGTGAAAGGCAGCATTTATGATTTCTTAAACACCTGAAATCTTCCAATAAGCCCATTCTAACTTGTTAGAAAATTAAGTAATGCCCGTTATATTTCTTAAATGCCTTTTGCTCATTTGACTCACTTCCACTTATTGCTTTGTGCTCATTTAAACTAATATATTCACTTTCTTAGTTAGAAAACAAAAACAACCGTTCCCCGCATCCCCTGCCCCCAGCTTTGGCCCAGTCTAGTCCTTACTTCTATTACATTCAGCTGTCTTCTATAGCGTCTGTTTATCTTTCACAGCTCTGCCCCCTTCCTTTAATGTCTTCTGAACAGGCTGTGGTGCTGGCAAACCTTATGAAGTGGGTTTGAATTACTCTCACCTCCATTTTACCTATCTTAGAATTGTTTTTCTCTTAATTTCTACTTTTAGGATATTTCATTTGTCATGCTGGATTTAATCCTTAAGATCTACCCAATATTATGGATTTATCAAAAAAAAAAAAACAAAAAACACCCACACCAAGACCAATGGGTGGCTTTCTGCTCTCAGCGCACTTTCATTCACTTAAATGTCTTGGCTCACTTTCCTCACTAATGGGCAGCAAGAGTCTATTCAGACCACACTGTCTTCTACGCACACATTGTGCCTCTTCTCACAGTAGAGGGCTTTCACTGCCGGGTGCAGCAGCTGGTTCTGGAGGGAAAGCATCCCTCCCGTTCTCCGGGTAACAGACAAGTAGTAGAAGAGACATTCTCTGTCAGTTACCAATGTTTATAAAGCAGTACAGCCAACCAGGTGTCACGCTTCACCCTGAGAAACCTGGATAGAGAAACCTCTAAATTTATAGGCATCTATAACCTTGCGTTAAGATACACCACTATTCCTTCTTGGGGAATCTCAACACCTAACCAGAAGAAACTTTTTCTAGGGTAACTTATTAATTAATGCTCGCCTCAATTAACTGTTAGAAGTTCTCTTAAGTGTTAGTGTCAGCTCTATAGAAATTTTCTGAATAAATCTGGTCCCTTTAATTTTTCTGTAATATACTTCTTTTTTGGGATAGGTAGAGAGTTTGGTTTTGTTTAGAAATGAGACTCAACACCATAGCCCAGGCTGGCCTGGACTTTACAGGAGTCCTTCTGCCTCAACTTCCTGAATAACAGCATTGCATGAATAAGCCACCATGCCTGATTGCAAATCTCTTATAAATGAGCTTCTTCGACTCCTAAGAGGCACTCTTTCTACAAAGCAGCAGGGCACGGCAGGCTCACTGCCTCCTTAGTCACAAAGGTCAAGCAGGTGAAATCACATGTAAATATCAACCCCAAGACACAGGACCATGGCCACGCTTCTAATAGACAGCTGTGTTTTATCAAATGAGCACGTGTACCAGCTGCTACCCCTACTACCAGCTCTGTGTTTACACGATATACAAAGAACTCACACAGTTTAGGACTTACGTGCTTCTCTATGCATCTGAGGTGGTAGCAACAGTAGTAGCTGCAGCAGTAACTACAATAGTCCTTGGACATTAGTTTTGTGTAGATAATGATAAAGCCTGAACACAGAAGCAAGTGCGATATTACCTATTAAGACAAGCAAAGTTGCCACTGGGGGACCCAAAAGTAAAAGAAAGCTAACGACACTCAGAGATTCTGGATTCCTGGAGCCAGCTCAGAACCAAAAAGGCTGAGTCACCACAAATCAGTTAGCTGCTGACAGATTAGCAGAGCTATTAGGTACCCAGTGTCTTAGTGTTGAAGACATGTCAACAACACTTATCACAAATGGCAGCTGTCTTTCAAATGACGCTATTTTGAGGTTAGAATGAAAATATTTCCAGTCTGCTTTAATTTCGAAGGTGGCATGGGCTTTGCAAGTTCTTGTTGTCCCTGGGGTGTCGAGCTAGGTGGTAAGCGTAATACTGACTCCAGGAGCGTCTGGTTGCTAACCCTCACCCTCAAAGATAATGTCTTCCGGATTTGGTGGAGGGGGGCAGAACTCTTCGCTGGGAAAGATCTCCTGGAACAGTGCTTCCGCCTGCTTGACGGCATGCTCATTCCCCGGTCCACAGTCAGGCCCAGAGCAGACGTACACGTTGGGAGGCAAGCCACAGTATGAGCTTCGGCTCACCCCCGAGGAATCTCTCATGTTAAAATAAAGAGCCCACAAGAGTCTCGGTTTTTTGAGTTCTTCCTGGTCTTCTGCTTCTGTAAAAGGGATGAATAACTGCTTCACCACAGGTTCCAAGTCTTCCCTGGCTGTTTTTGATGAGACACAGGTCAGGTGGACCAGATAGCTGTCCTTCATGCACGTCATGGTGGATGGGCATAACTCCATGACCCGAACGGAACCAGTTCCTGGCTCCAGAGGAGGCACTGTCAGAACGGAAACCTGCTGGTCTGAATCTGTCTCCAGGATGGATCGGTCTGTGATGAGCACGGCCCTCGAGATCTGCTGATACTGCACATTTGAACACGCTTCCTTGGAAAGGTAACTGTCTTCCACAATAAAATAGCTGGCACTTATTCTCTGACCAAAGTGGTCTATGATTCCTTTACATCTTCCGGAGTCTTTATCAACTACAAGGCATTGGACTTTATGGCGAAGACAATAGATTCCACCAAACACAGCACACATCCTGCAGAAACACTGGGGAATTTCTCCTTGGCCATATAAAGGGAATATAAAGGGAGTGTTGCCAAACCGTCCAAGACACTGAAGGAAGGTTTTGGCTGCTTTAAGGCCATCTAATGTAGTGCAGGATGACTCTGATGTCATTGCAATTGAGTGCAGTATGAAATGTTGGAGGCTGGGCGTTAACTGTTTAGTTTTTAGGTACTCAGAAAATGAACATTGTTTGAAATCCTGGTATTCGTCAGAATGTTGTTCATAGTCTAGACAGAATGTGAGGAATTTCATTAGCATCCTCTTTTCAACCATAGTGAGCCCTTTACTATTAAAGACATCTGCTCTGGAGCAAGGCACCTGTTCCACTTTCCCTTCCCGAAATGCAAGGATCCTAGTGACGTTCTTAAATTCTGCATAACGACTAACATTTGATTTGATGAGAAGATCAATCAATGATCCTTGAGAATACAGTAGCTTCGATACTAAGTCAATATTAAATCTCCGGCTCTCCTTAATCATTTGAGGGTATGTAATCCTGCTTCTCTTTGGTTGCTCAGTGTTGTCTTCTACATCAAGTGTGTCTTCATCTTTATCTGAAAGCGTCTGGGTGCCAGTTTCATCTTCACGGTCCTTTTCTTTCTCCAGTGAGTTCTCTGCATCAGCTGGGGACGATGAAGGCTCTCTATCACTTCTCTCTGTATCTTTAGAAGGCGCTTCGTGGCTTGAACAGTACGCTGAGTGCCTTTCTTTGGGCAAGCCTGCAGGATCCAGAGAGTCAGCCAGGGTAGCAGATGCCTCTGAGGAAGGACTTCTCTGCAGAGCATCGGTCTTTTGAGTGCTGTCCCCAGCATCCTGGCTGACATAACAGAAGACTTCTGTGTGTTGAATGGTTCCATCCTTCCCACAAAGGGCGACGGCTTCTTCAGTGTCATGGATCAGGTCTTGCCACGAGGCAGTCGTGTCTTCCTCACTGTCATGGCTCTGTTGACAGTCCTTCAGCCAGGACAGCAAACCTGTAAAGCTGAAACTGGCCCAGTTCCCTCCGTAGTAACTTCTTGAGTCAACATGCAGAACTCTCTGTCCGCTTCTCGAACATGCAGCTGCCAGGATGGACTCGGGCAAACCTGTCCCTACTATAATCACATCAAACTCTGTGGGAAGCTTGTCTGCCATCCTAGAAGCTGGAGCTTCAGGTCACAGCTGATGAAGGAACACAGTACGGACCTAGGCCGAGGACTCCTCTGAGGTATTTATGCTGTAATAAAATCTCTACTTGTGATCTTCATTCAGAAACACTGAGCTTGCAAGTCCTAAGCTGTTTAACCGTTACAATCTTAAACATTTAAGAAAAGAACGTCAGGAGCATGGAAAACACGAGAAAGGCATGAAATCCTATCTGAGAACACTCAAACGGATGTATCCTTTTCGTGTCTGCATTTCACCTTAGCAGTAAAAGTTACCATGCATCACATATGCATTTGTGGCTGGAACTCTTCTCTGAAAGAAGAAAATTCAAGAAAAGAACACAATTGTAAATAATAGAAAAGCAATTTCATGCAACAGCAATTTCAATCCACTGGAGCCTGACTTGTTAACGTGGATACAAACCTTTACCCAAAGAAGTCATTAAAAGCCTTCCCAAAAGTCTCCTAAGCTCTTGAAAATGAACAGAAGATACTTTGTACATCTTCCCCCAAAGTCATGAAACAGACACAATAGCCCACAAAAAATAAAAAACTAATATTATACAATTAATTTATTGTTAATAAAATATTTAGACAACATTGAAAGCTTAGACTAAAAAAATATGTGACTTTACCATGTTTATGGAAACATACTAGGCTGAGTGATAATGTCAAAATAATGGGGAATATTGCCGGTGTCAGGAAAGTCTGTAGGTAACCCCAGTCAGCTGAATAGAAGATTTTACAACCTTAACTACCCTAAGGATCTTGCAGCAGATACATGAGACATCTAGATATTACAAGAGAATTAATTCAATAACTGGCATTTAATATATGCAAGTACATGAAAGAACAGGCCTGAGGGGAAATAGCCTTGTAACATTTTCTGTACTAAAGTTCATGTATAAATTAAAAAGTTTCCTATATTAAGACATTTTAACATAAATAATATCTGTTCATAGTATCTAAATAAGGAAACATTTACATTTTGCCAGTCTGTCTCTGCAACCATGAATCTCTTTCTAAACAGGTTCTTTTTGTTTCTAAAGAAGCAATGGAAACGGTCTCCCCTGGACCGGTCCATCACATGCTGGTTATATCCGTGTGGTGCTGGGTGTGGCTGGAGGCTGTCCCTTGGATATACTCACCTGGACGTCTGCAGGCTAACACACTGTCATACCTCATCGCCAGCCTTTTCCTGGCTCATCATGCACAGTAGCAGTAAGTGTTCCTGGGCCTCTCTACATTTCACTACCGTTACATCTGCTGGCATCTAGATGCAGGTACACGTGAGAGACTAGTAATTCTGATATTCATAAAACAAGCTGCTCAACTGGGATTGGCACGAACTTCACGGGGTTGCTGGTCTGACGTGTCAGTTTAACTGATACAGTGATCCCAGCAAGCCCAGCTGGTAGTAACCTCTGACCAAGATTATCAGGAATTCTACTTATTTTTAGCCTTCTTTGAGAAGCCAGGACCAGAGCCCAGGATGAAGCCACTGCCTGGTCTACTTGTGCATATATGCCAGAATATGTGACTTACTCTCCCTTCTTCTAGTAGGGTGTAAAGAGGGAGACAGAACCTATGAGGGCATCTAAAGTATAAGCATGAATTTACTTCCTCTAGGCACAGAAGGGAACAAGGCTGAGGCTGGCAGGGGTGGGGTGAAGCGGGTTATAGGCACTAAGTAAGTACTTTCCGAACTACAGATGTCAAAAGGGTCTCCAAAGATACAAAGTAAATAGGATAGACGACCTTAACACAGTCAGCTCAATAGTGTATCACAAAGATGGGGAAGCTGGCAGTCTGGGAGAGTGAATGACTTGGGAAAACACAGATGATGAAGTAGCTGCAGGCGCCCAACATGGAGCAAGCAGCTAGCTACTTCAAACCTTGAAAAATTTTCCTCTCTTTTAGTACTCAGGATTGACTAGTCCTGGCTTGGGAATAGAAAGGGAAGCATCTTCCCTGTCTCCACCAAGAAGCATACTCCGGGAGAAGAAACTACCTTTGCTAAGAACACTGTGAGTTCTGCCGTAACCTTACTCTTTTCTCCAGGAGTTAACTGATTTCCAATCCTCTAACCCTACACGATCTACCTCAGGTTTTAGGATGGGAATAAACGCCATCATTCAAAGCACTGATAAATGCCCTGGGTAAAGGAGCCCTGGGTAAAGCACCAGGGTGGATGCTTCTAGAAGTCTTAAAAAATTTCTTCTGATGGTGACAGCTCCCGGCAGGGAGAAAGGAGAAGGAAGGCTACTGAAGAGGAGGTTGGCAGGGCATGGCGGGGGGAACAGGGTGGGTGCTGAAAACCACACTACGAAACTGGACCCATTCCTGTTTTCACACTGCCGGCTGGACACCACAGCACAGAACCATACTCCACAGAAGGAAGAACTGTCATGTCTGTGAGTAAACACCTGTCGCCTACCCCAGGGCCTCTACGAGCCAGGCCTGACTGACACATGTCACCTTCTTAAAGACTAATCCGCCTGAAAGACCCTCCTGACCAACGCTTTTAGTTAACACAGAGAATAACCATACAGTCAACCTACATTATCACTGATGTCGTCTCACGGTCCCTCCTCAAGTTTCAGTATTTTTTAAAATGGAAATCCTTAGAATAATGTTTATTAGGGGAAGAGACTAGAGAAAGTATTGGAATTATCAATTGGTGAAATAAATAAAACCATAACTCCCAAATTTTCTTTGCTTTAAAATTTTAAAGAAAGGAATCATGACAACAACATTTAGGATTTAGGTTTGTCACACATAAGCTGGCAAATAAAAATATCCATGATGTTACATGGATGTTTTTCTCTAAGATCTGTCAAGATTAAGACCGCAGTCAATTACCAGTGTGTTTCAAGACTTGAAAAAGGGGTCTTTAAGACTTAAGAAATACCCAATTCTATTTTAAATCTCTGTACAAACAAAATTCTTAGGACACACACACATACACATGCCCCCCACACAGCCCCACACCCCACATCAAACACACACACACACACACACACACACACACACACACACACACACACACACCAATCTTTCCCAAGCTTAAAATACTGAGTTAGTCAAGCGCCAACCTGTCAATTTTCAATATAAATCTTCAAGAGATCAACAAGTTCTACTTTAATTAAACGTACTGGCTGCCCAGATAATTACTTAGTCACACCAATGAGTTGGACTTCTGAGCCATTTGTAACCTCTGGTGTGACAGAACTTATGTAGAGGAAATACAATTAAAAATGTCATACAGTCTCATTCCCTAGGAAGCATTAAACGATTTATAATTGTTAGCAAATGAAAGGGGGGGGGATACACCGTTATTTAGGCTTCTACGTGTCACTCTGAGAAACAAATACTAAATATGTGATTAAATCTCTCCTTGTCCCTTCTCCACTTTTCAGGGGTTGACTTTTTTCTTGCGTCTCTTGACTCTACAGGCCCTCGCTTCTCTCCCCCTTGTGCAGACCAGTAAAAACAGAACAGAGATGAGAAGATACAAGCTGGTCAGCTGCAGGGAGACTTTCAGAACTGCTGCATCTGCATTGGGAGCTGGGGAGAACGACTGGCTGGAAGGACCCAGAGGAGGAGGGAAACAGGGAGTTGGGGGAAGATGATCGGAAGATCCCAGGGGGATGAGAGAGGCCGGGAGTTAGGGGTGATGACTGGCTAGAAGGGAGGATCCAAGGGAGGACGAAAGCCCAGAGTTGCTGTACCCAGGGAAAGTTGGGAGGCGAGGAGGACGCGTCCCGGGCAACTCACCGAAGAGGCTGCCGCTAAACCCGTCCCACGCGCAGCCCACAGCGTCCCACACCCAGCCGTTCCGCAGGCACGACGCGAAGGTGAAGGTGACGCCGAACAGGGACACCAGCAGGTCGCCCAGGCTGAGGTTGACCAGGAAGAGGTGGGTGGGCGTGCGCAGTCGCGGGAACTTGGAGTAGAGCAGCAGCACCAGCAGGTTGCCGCCGACGCCCAGCAGCGCGAGGCCGCCGAGTAGCAGCGCCAGGCGCTCGTACGCCGTGGGGCTGAAGAGCGGCGCGGGGCTCCG